TTGGAAACGCCTTTCTAGCAATGCACCAATCACTGTACGCCATTTTGTCCCCTCCCCTCTCCTCCTCCTCACTCCCCCTCTGTCACTTTAACATCTACTAGTCAGTGATATGTAAAAAATGAACTGGAGAGGTGCCTAATATGGCAAAATTTTGTTTCAATATTGGTGGTGCCTTAATAAGTTCGGAGAACAAAAGAGTGGTTCCTCCCTCCACAAAGGAAGAATATTGCTTTCGGCTTATCTCAGTTCTTCTTGCAATAATAAAAACATAGCAAAGCAAAGCAAAGCAAAGAAGGCGGAATTTTTAAGATCAGGTCACATTTGTTTCTCACATCAACACAGAGGCCTCCAAGCCCAATAATAAGCTTATGCAATATTCCACTCAACGTCAATGCAGCCTAAGTTCAAAAGTAGACAGTAAACTCAACACTCTTTACCAGCTGCACTCATGACAATGACAAGACTTTCGCATTTTCTGTTTATTTAAAATAATAATTCTAAAACATTACATAGCCTTTTGCTTAGCGACGATTTTAATTTGTTGACACTTTATGGTAACTCTTGACTCACCATCGAAGTCTTGTCGGTATTGTTGGACGGACTGCGCACTTGACAAGAGTTGCACTGTTATTGTCTTTTAAATCCCCTCTCTCGAGATGGTAGGTGTTGAATAGCGAGCTGTGTTAAACAGGGACTTTACGTGCGAATCATAACTTTGATACATAAAATAGCCATTCCCATATCCAAATAAGCCGAACAATCCACCTTCATCGGTCCGACTCGTCACTTGCCACAAGTGGCATTCTTCTCCCCTTTTGATCAGTTTCTCCAATTACAGATCAGCATCAATGCTGCCAAAAGAAGAGAGTAGCCATTCATTAATGAAGTCACTTCTGTCACAAGTTATGGCCTTTAATCCAACTGTAGGAAAGGGTCGATACCTACGACACAAAAGTTTGACTAATGACCTGAACCTTCGTCCTGGTTAGGGAGGCACTGCAATTCCCTCCATCGTAAACTCCAGCCTAGAGGCTCAGCTTCCGATCCATGTCTGTACTTCCTCAACCTCTGTGAAGGCTGTGCAGAAACCTCCTACCACGCCGCCTTGGTTTCGCATGACTTCTAAAGAAAGTGAACAAGCTGAGCTGGCGGACATTCCACCCCGTAAAACCGTCAGACGACGTCATTTATTTAATGACGGTTGCGACTATTTCACGGGAAAGTTGCACCTTCTTAGGCATTACTGACGGACATTCAGCCAATAACGACTTCTTTCAAACCCAGCATTGGGACATTCTGCATGCGCAACGAACCAATGGAATACTCATTATGCCCAACTTTTCCCATCAGGCGGAAATTGGTACCTCAACTCTGACATTGGAGATAAGGAAGTGAGTTACGAATCGCCTCAACACCTTAGCGCCTACTCCGTCAATGTACTCATCCCATTCAAAGGATATTCTCTTTTTACCGATTTTGACCTTCACCTTCCTATGCCTTTTGACAGTTGTCAGTCCTACATGTATCATTTTTGCATGCGAAATAAGGAATGAAGGAGCAGTATTAATCGTTTTTGGTTTTGCTTTTCCGATTTTTCTAACCCCTCTTTCTTATAGGAGAGCCCTAAAGGAAAATTAATTGCATTACCCTTTCCAACATCTGACAACTTTGTAATCGTCATAAGAATTTCTCTTGTTCTAATCTCTAGTACAGCCCCACCTTAATAGCTGGTTGATTGCTTGCCTTCACGTAGACTGACTTTCACTGCACCAAGAAAAAATGTAAACTGTGCAACATGGTCAACCATCTCCTCATTTCCGTCGTACTTATGAGATCTCTTGGACTTTGTACTTTGTCGATGTCACTTAAATTCCACTTTCTCACTACTGTCCTTATAACCCAAGAGGTTGAACGATCCTATTTTTCTCTCCGACAAAAATTCTTTTAAACGGCTGGAGGTAGTCAGGACAGTGCAGTAAGCTGCACAAGGACACTACAATATTTCAAGGTGGTCGTTACATTTTAAAAGGGACTTGAACGAGGTCATTGGTTTGAAAATCGTCAAAAGAAGTTTCGTACTCTTACCTTATGGTATTATGGTCACAAAATTGAGCAAACCTTGACCGTAAGCAATGTTTAAAAACGTGGCAGCACCATCTAGACGCCCATCAGGGCTAATAAGAGATTGTACGTCAGATGGACTGCCTACAGCATGATTAATGCCATATTAAGTGACATCAAATCGGTTAATCAAGAATAGCGAATACCAATCCTTTAGCATCTGCATCTATGCATGTATTTTACAATCGGATGTGAGGAAAGCACTTAATTAAATATATGGGAAGGTTACTTTAACGAATATTTGCATTGAGTGCTGACAAGACGTTTTTGAAACCTACTTGAATCATTATGCCTATAAATGGCGGACTTTATCCTCCCAACATTAAGCAAGGCCTAATGGTCGAGGCCACGACGGTAGTGAGGGAAAGTCAGAAGGGAAGAAATTTTCCTTCTAAGGTACCTTTGAAAGTTAGCTGATAATTTCGAATTTTTAAAGGTGAACCAACCGTCTCTTTCTCTCAAAATTTGTCTTAGCAATGATCAAGTAAATTGGAGCCAAAATTTGCAACACTACACCGCTAGGCCGTTCAAACAGTCCGGATTAAAAGATAGCACAAATAAGTTTAGCAAAAACTCAGTTTTCGTACGGATCACGTAAACCTTTGATCACAAAAAAATAGTCTAAAATCGACTATTAAACAATCTCCCTATTAGATGTACTACTTCTAAGGTCTATTGTGTCCACAGCGGGCAGTGTATGAATACTCAACCGTGATTGGATTCGCTTTTTGTGCAATTCACCAATGATCTTCTGCCTTTCCCATCGAATATTTTAATTGGTTAGTGAGGTATATATATATGCCTAATGCCGTCTCTTAAAATCTAAATAAAAAGCCTTCACAAGGGATAACTTAGCTTTTAAAACCATTCTTAAAGGTAATTCCGTCAAACGGTTAAATCATTTTTATGCATTTTGCGATTGTGCCTATAAAGTTGTTTACAGGTGTATTTATTTTCACATAATTGGTGCAGTTTCTTTCAAAAAAAAAAAAATAGAAACTTATGCAAACGGATTTGTGTGTGCTATAAGAAGGACACTGAAATTGGCTCATCTTAGGAGGACATTCAGGTGACTGTGGTCCTTACTTAGAGCTAACTGTGTCACATTTTGCAGATCCCTTCAGCATGATCAGTCGCACAGCCCTCCTTTGCCTCGCCTTCGTCGGCATCTGCATTTGCTGGAACCACAGCGTAGCCGCCACCTCGTTAGAACCCACAAGAAGCTCCGGTGTGTGCACGCTGATACGAAAGCGTCTCATGTCGGAGATCTCGCGACTCATGAGTGTCTACGAGACCTGCATTGAGGGCGGCTCCGACACCCTCCTTCGACGCAAGCGAGCTCCAGAAATGCTTTGGGACATTGAATGAGGTTTTTGGAAAGGATTAAACTGGGACAAAAAAATCTCTATTCCATTCATTCGTGGACAACTCATCCCCGTTTCATTTCTGCCCCTTACATTTTGGTGTGTACAACCCGTATACAAGTGATTAATAAACCACAGAAGGGCCCAAATTTTATACAATTTGTTGCATTAATGGCGTTGCCTCGAAGAGGGGATGCTCCTTCTGGACGTAAAATTCTTGCAGCACCAACGCACAACTTAAAAAGACTTCCAAATTGTTATGCTTAGATTAGGCGCTTTTCTTTTAATTCCGACAAATAAAATTACTCTGTTCTGGCGTTTGAATGAGTACCGAGAAAGCGTTTATTGGTCAACAGCAGCAAATTTATTTTTTCTGATGAGTAAGCACTTTTTCCCCCCTTAAACGCTTTCCTTCAACCGCATTAGCACGCCATTTAAAACAAATTAAAAAAAGAGCTACCTGAGGCAGTTTTTGGACACCTCTCGCTTTCTCAGGTGGATAGTGAAATTGCAAGTAAAATTAACTGCCCCCTTCACTATCCTTCGCTTTGACAGAAATAAAATTCCAACTCGCAGCGTGAAATTTGACAAAGTACACTCTTGTGCCATCTTTGACCTCAATTTTATGTCAGACGAAAATTTATTATTTTTTTTCGTGATATTTTAAACTCCAACACGATTGCCTGGACCATTCCAATCAGCTTGTTACAAGAAAATTGGCAATTAGGTATGTTTATTGTTTTCCAACTGCTGTGTGGAATGTGAGTATCATCATTGTGTCAGTTACGTCAACTGACAAGTCCTGCGTCCTCGGTGCTGCTCCACCACACGAGCGGAACGGGGCAGAGGAAGGGAGGAAGGAGACGAGCCGAGAGTGAGGAGAGCGTGCCTTTTGTGAGCCTGAGAAAAGGGTACCTTTTGCTGCCGCTTTATTCCTCCAATGCTTTTGTCTTTCATTTGACAAGCAGATGCTTTCGGCATTAGACTCTCAGTTACCAGTGGCTGTTGCTTTTAGGCTGTCATTTAATCTTCACTTCTTTCTCACAAGGGTTTGAGAAGGCAAAATGCCAGACAATGGATGAGAAGTGGGGTCTGCTCTATCAGAACTTCAAATTATGTGGGATTTGAAGTTGCGATGGTGGAAGCAAAAAATCGCCAGAGGCGGAAATGCTGCAACGATGAGCTTATCCTGTCTCTACACCTAATCAACTACAACACACGATAAAATCATTGGGGTGGAAGAGGAGTAGGATGGGGAAGGGAGGGTCAAAAAGCTCTTAAGCGTGTGTAAGAGTGAGGCAGCGAAGAGGAGAGGTGACACCTCCCCGAGGGTTGCATGTCGGTGAAGAAAATTAGCAACCACTCGGTGATAGCATCGCTCTTGGTCTTAAAACTTAGGCCACAACATCACATCAAAAACCAAAAACGATTACAGCAAATCGACCTATTAATTAATTAATTTTTAAGTGTTGATATAATAATAACATGGTGCACTTTATCTAGTCAGATGATGCAAAGGTGTGGAGGTGAAGGGGCAACTAGCGGTGAGCTTTGATGTCAATGCCATAACCGGGTGACAAGATCGTGGTCATAATTGCCGCTGGCGTTTATGCGGCAGCGGTGGCGGCAGCGGGGGCGACGATGGTGGTGGGGAAAATAAATGCAATTTAATTTCAAAATACACCAAACCGGTATTTCTACCAACTGAGTGAAGGCATTTAAACTCACCTTTACAAAACAAAGTTGTCAAAGCAACAATTATTAAAAAAGGATGTTTAGGTGAGAATAACTAAGGCATTCTCTTTTGGGGAAGTGATAACCAGTAATAACTCCGCGACACCGACGTCCAGAGGACCATCCTTCGTTGCTTCTACAAAGCATAGCTCAATTGATAGTCCCTGTTTCATTTAACGTCCTTCATTTCGTCAAGCATCTGTATATTTTAGCAAAAGTACCGGTAATCAAGCGCCGTAAGCAAAGGATTTCGAATGCCGGTGGAAAAGC